AAAGAAACGGTTTGTGTTACGGCGCTGCGTTACTGTAAATGACAATTGTGCGGTCATGCAACGCTGAGCTTTCTTTCTGTGGTATTTGACCGACAATTTTGAGGAAAAACACAATATTTTGAACTTTTTGCTATTAAACATATCCAGTAAAAAAATTTAAAAATCAAAGTTTGTCATAAATTTAGGCAAAAATGTATTGTGCTACATGTCTTTGCTAAAAAAGGTCTTCACTGTAAGCACACTGTTCTGGATGGCTCTGATCAGCCATCCAGAGTGTGCCCAAAAGCAGCCTTCCTCCCTGTCGGTGATCGCCGGTAATCACCAGGTAGGATCAGGTGATTGTTACCTGCGGCCGCGAACGTCGGCGCGGGTAGGGCGTGCCCCCCTACCCGGAAATGCAAAATGACTTTTTTTATACATGCTTTTGTGTACAGGGGGTCGCCCTGTACGTATATCATTTTTTTTTAAACCTGCAAAATAAGTGCTTTTCTTTTTTTTAAGTGAACTTATCCTTTAAAGAGACTGTCAAGAGACCATACACAATTCTGCAGGTATAAGGTGGAAGCTACAGAAAATTGTACCAGCCTTTATAAGGCCCTCCATCTGAGTCAGCCAATTTTTTTTTTTTTTTGGGCTTCAACACATTTCATTATGTAGATATGTAATACCACGTGTCAAATACTTTACACTTGAAATTCCGGTTTCAAATTTATGGTGCCAAATACTATTACCCTGCAAATCCTAATAGTACTACATTATTTTTAAAAACACATGTGTCACCTAATTAATAAAAGATTACTTAATACCTGTTAAAAAGGTTTGATTGGATATGCAAACAATCATCGTTGAATTAAATATATTTATTACATACCTAAAATAAAGAGATTATTAATTATGTTTAATATGTTTTCACTCTGTGACACACTTTTCAGTTTGTTAGTTTCCTAATGCCTTCCCTCTGTAAAACCTACCAAAGTGCCGCCTTTCATTTACGTATTTCTCTACTGTTCCTAAACCTTTTCAGGTTTAATTCCCTTATGTTGTTTGCAACATAAATGTCCTTTTCTCTTGCATTCTGACATATTATCGGTATATCAGCATGTTTATTTTTTAGACCTCTGTTTACTAAAGATAAGCTAATTTATTTTGAACTTATTTTGCTCCATCTCTTCCACTCCCCGTTCATTATAAATTAATTTCAGTCTTTTTGTTTCCCATCTCTATATGCATGAAATAAGTCCAACAATTTTCTGTTGCAGTTTGCTTTTTGGCTTTGTCCAGCATTGTTTTTTTCCCCTAGCATCCACCTCTCAATCTTCGACCTTATTTCTAGATTTGTGAAAGGGTGGATCAGTAGGAGGGGTGCGTGGGAGGAAGCTATTTCTTGTTGCTTGCTGGAGGAGGGTATTGGTGTGAAGGATCACAGGTGTTAACCTCCTCTCTGTCCTTAAAAAATTCTCACTGCATTATTTAGTGTCTCCCAAGTGAAAATATGCAGAGTTGAAATAAGATAATACATTTATCACTCTCTCTTATCAGTCTCCAGAGGTATCTGTACATTTTAGCTCCTGTCCCCTTCTTTGAGCTTCTGACTGTTAATTATTGTACTTAGTATTTTACTCAGCGTTCCCCACCTAATTACACAAATAAAAACTGTTACGTTAGCAAATTCAGCCACAAGATTTGAAATGTAACAAAAAACACATACTCTTTTGCATTTGGATTTGCTTGTTATCAGGTAGCTTTTTCTCTCTTTATATTTATACAGTTTATTATCTGATCCAACAAGCTTTTCTCTTATTTTAGCATTTTGCTAACTACGTTCCATATTGAATTATCCCTATACTCCTGCTCTCCTTTTTAGCCTTAGATTTCCCCCTGTCATCTCTTTATTACATACATATATATATATATATATATATATATATATATATATATATATATATATATATATATATATATATATATACACACACACACACACACCCTTCCATCACAGTAATATATGCTTTGCTTTTTATAGATTTCTTGTTTTACTTCCTCCATACCTTAATTTGCTGTGTTGCTCTCTCATCATCTTTCTTTTGCTTCAAGCTGCATCCTCCACCTGTTCTCCCTCCCTCCACTGCTTCCACATCATCTCCTATTCCTATATTTTCTGTGAAACCTGCCTATCAGTATGCTTCTATTTACTTTACCTGTGTGTTTCCTCTTGTTGTTCTCCCACCCTGTTTGGGTTAGTGCCATCTCTTGTCTGCCCTGTGGCTCTCGTTTTTGTCACTTTTTTGAGGAACCAACCATTCAATTTTGTACTGTTCACCTTTAAAGCACATTCTCTCAGTCCTTACTATCTGTGCTTCTCTCTTCCCCTGTATCTCTCTCTTTCTCCCCCCACCTTTCTCTCTTCTCATCTCTCCCCCTCCCCCTTCTTTCCTCCCTCCCTCCTTCCTTTTTCTCTCTGCAGCACACACAGGCAGATCTCTCTCTCTCTCTTTCCACTGCTGTTGATTATTCTTATTTTGTTTTTATATCTGCTTTTTCTCTTCCGTTTTTTGGGGAAAATACATACAATGCTTGGATAGTGTGCATTTTTGGCTAAAGGTGAGAACAGCTAACAGATCGTCTCTGAAGACAGCATCATCTGAAAAGGAATATTTGTGTGGTGAATCTGTTTTTTTCGTCTATGCCACAATCCTCCTTTCCTCCTCCATTTCTCTCTTTCGCTGTCCATGATGTTGAATTCTCTAAAGCTTCACTGGATGAGATTTATCTACAATGAGGGCTTTATGAAATTAAGCAAACCATTTATTTAATCCTTTGTCGTTTTTGTTGCTTTTTTTTATCAATACGGATTAACATAGAATGACTGATTATTTTTGGAGGAGCCTTTAGGAGGGGGATATTCCCCCTGTTAGAGAGGTTGTTCACATATATATTTTTTTCACCTTGGCTTTGTTTTCTTAGTCTGGATGTTGTCGTGGATCAATGGATGCTGGAGGAGGTTGAAGCCCACAAATGTAATACCCTTCATCTTCTCTCCAGACAGAAGAGTTCTTCCTCCCTACTAAGGAATCAGAGGGGGAATATGAGACAGGCAATGGGGGTCAGCATGACATGCTGATTTTGGAAACCAGAGGCTTGTGTTTGCCCTTTTGGCTGGCCCCCAGTGGTGCATCTGGCAGCCCCCTGGGGGTCATGGCCAGTTTTGGCCACTGGGTTTGGACCCTTTTGCCCCTTGGCCTTCTGACACTGGCCAGGGTCTCAGACACAGCACGGGTATCATCCAGTCTCAGTACTACTCACCATGTGCACCATTTCCATAACAAGCATGGGACAGTCCCAATCGCCATTAATAGGACCCCATTCTTAACAAGAGGAGGACATGGTGAGTATATTATGGTGATTCAATAGGTTGAAGTAAAAATTGAAGCAAACCTATGACATGTATGTTTTTTCTTAGTTTATTGAGAACATAATCATAAAAAAGGGGAAGGGAGACAAGGATGTAAGCTGCACTGGCTTAATTGGGTAATTTAAAATGGCTGATTTTAGGATAAACAAATTAAGATTAAAATGCATAGATTATTACTCAATTTTTGGTTTATTTGATATTTATAAAATAGTTTGCAATGCAAGGCAGGATGTGTGCAAGTTGTTTTGCATATCAAAGCTTTTATATTTAGTTTGTTATCTTGGCTTTTGTGAACAATATGTATATTACACATGTTTTGTGGGATTACCAAGTATGTAATGCTTCATAGGTTATTTCTAAAAAAAATTCTTTTGAAGCAAGAAAGAAGTTTTATAAATTAATTGGTAAAAAGGGTATCTGCTTCTAGCTATCATTTTTCAAAAAATAGATATGTGGCACTGGGTGTTAAATGTCTGCAGTTAGTGTGGATCTCAGAAATGAAGGCAACTGCAGTAGCTGTGTTTCTTGGTAAAAATAGAAGATGATTGTTTCTCAGTAAGCTAGTTTTAGGCTGAATCCATTTTGCCCTACTGATTTGAGAGAAGGATGATGTTGGTCACATGATAAAGGAACAGCAAACTCCCACATGTAACTGCCCCTATGCTACTGTCCAGTAACCTGATTATAACCCGGAAAATATTCTGTTTCTCAGAAGATTATTTAAAATGCATAGGTATCCATTTTACACATTCACCAACAGAGTTGCAATACCTACATTCTATCTATCTATCTATCTATCTATCTAACACACACACTTTATCAGCGTTTTAGGTAGCCATATCAAAAGAGAAAGTTGTTGATTTTGCCAGAGGGTTTGGGAGAATGCTCAACATTGGTTTAACATAAGACATATTTATTTGATGCTGAAAGAGCATTATAGTATCCCTTAACCACTTGCCTACCAGGCACTTATACCCCCTTATTTACCAGGCCAATTTTCAGTTTTCAGCGCTGCCGCACTTTGATTGACAATTGTGCGGTCATGCAACATTGTACCCATATGAAATTTTGATCATTTTTTTCTCACAAATAGAGCTTTCTTTTGGTGGTATTTAATTGCCACTGGGCGCTTTACTTTTTGCGCTATAAATAAAAAATTGCCAAAAATTTGAAAAAAAAAAAAAAGTTTCTTTGTTTCTATTATAAAATTTTTCAAACGGGTAATTTTTCTCCTTTCGCTGATGTGCGTTGATGAGGCAGCACTGATGGGCACTGATAGGCGGCACTGATGGGCACTGATAGGCAGCACTAAAGGGCACTGATAGGCAGTACTAATGAGGTGGCACGGATAGGCGGCACTGATAGACAGCACTAATGAGGTGTCACAGCTATCTGATAGGCGGCACTAATATGCAGCACTGATAGGCGGCACTGATAGGTGACACTGATGATGGGTACTGATAGACGGCACTGACTGGCAACACTGCTGGGCACTGACTGGCGGCACTGACTGGCACAACTGGTGGCACTGACTGGCAGCACTGCTGGGCTGCACTGGTGGGTGGGAACAGGTGGGCAGCACTGGTGGGTGGGCACAGGTGGGTGGCACTGGTGGGCACAGGTGGGTGGGCACAGGTGGGTGGCACTGCTGGGCACAGGTGGGTGGCACTGCTGGGCACAGGTGTGTGAAATTGCAGAGTGGCACAGGTGGGTGCACTGCTGGGCACAGGTGGGTGATCTGCTGGGCACAGGTGGGCGGAGCTAGTGGGCGCACTGCAGTGCACAGGTGGGCGGAACTTGCGGGTGACTTGCGGCACTGCTGGGCACCGATCATCAGGGCACTGATCATCAGTGCCCTGATGATCGGTGCCGATCCCCGCTCTGACAACTGCCGGTTCTCGGCAGTACTTTCCTCACGATCTGACAGCGTGAGGAAAGTGCAGCCGAGAACCGGCACTTGCATTTCCCTCTGATCAGCGTGTCATTGGACACCGCTGATCAGGTGGTAAAAGGCCGCTGTGATTGGCCTTTTACCACATCACGTGATCAGCTGTGTCCGTAGGACACAGCGATCACGGAGATTGCCGGGTGCGCGCCCCCTGGGGCGCGCAGGAGAGCGCGTTCTGGGGGGACGTCATATGACATCCACTCAGAACTGGCCGGCCGCAGTGCAGCCGTCATTCGGCTATCTGCGGTCGGCAACAAGTTAAGTAAATGTTCTTTGTTTGTCTCGTTAAGAGATTGTTTCAATGGATTATATTAGTATATACTTTACAGCATATGCCACTCAATCTTATAAATTCTGGTTTATAAGATTGTATAAATGTTTTTCAGTATTCCAATAAGCGTAGTGCAGCACAGCATTTTGAGGATCTAGACATTTTAGGCCTGATCTATAAAACTCTTAGTAGGAAAGATGGTTTGATGCAAATCAGAGCAACCAATAGAAATGAATCCCTTCAATGGAGAATACCAGGTAGAAAATTCAAAGAATTTATATAATTGGTTGCTGTGATCTGAGACTATAAATTCCACTGAAAGTGTTACATATTAAACCCATTTGCACATAGTTATGTTAGTCTTCATATAGATTTTTTTTTTTTTGTTATTAAAAGGTGCAACAAAAGATGTTTTTTGTTTATGTGCTTGCTGTGGTTAGTAAGTTGATTCTATATATCTGTTTTAAATGAAACGATGCATTATGTTGTATATTTAGTTCATATGTAAAAATTCTGCAATGAATTACACTTTGCACATAGCTCATAGCTTACAACTGGTTTGAGAAAAGATTAATACTCCCAACTTGATACGAATTTGTATGTGTCTGCTTAGACTGTTTTTTTGTTGTTATTGTTTGAATTGGATAATTATTGTAGCATTAAAAAAAAGCCCAGGAGCTCTAAAGGCCTTTCTAGTCTTCTTTTTAATTAGAAAGTGTATCCTATTCTCTTCTGTAAAGCGCCTTACTAATAAAAACCACAAAGAGTTAACATAAAAAATCAAAAGGCCTAAAGGTAGAGTGTTTTTATACAGAGAAGGACAAAACATTTCTGTTTAACTGTAACACATGTTCCTCAAACAGTTTCATATTTCTATTCATGTATATATGGTAATCTGGAAACATTTAAAACAGAATAACTGGATATAGGGTGGCAGGTCTCTTTTCAAGATGCCTCATGCCAAACTGTATGCTACTGGCAATATGTAATAAATAATGCTTGCCACAGTTCATATACAGTAAAGGAAATAAGTATTTGATCCCCTGCTGATTTTGAATGTTTGTCCACTCACAAATAAATCATCAGTCTAAAAATCGAATGGTAGGTGTATTGTAACACTGAGAGACAGAATAGCAACAAAAAATTCAAAAGAACTGCATGTCTAACAAATTATGCACTGATTTGCATGTTCATGAGGGAAATAAGTATTCGATCCTCTATCATTCAGCAGGATTTCTGGCTACCAGGTGTCTTTCATTCAGGTAACAAGCTGAGATTAGAAGCAGTCTCTTAAAGGGAGCGCTGCTAATTTCATGTTGTTACCTGTATAAAAGATACCTGTCCACAGGAGCAATCAAACAATCAGATTCCAAACTCTCCACCATGGCAAAGACCAAAGAGCTGTCCAAGGATGTCAGGGGCAATATTGTAGACCTACACAAGACTGGACTGGGCTACCAAACTATCGCCAAGCAGTTTGGTGAGAAGGTGACAACAGTTAGTGCAATCATTCGTAAATGGAAGAAACACAAAACTGTCAGTCTCCCTATGTCTGGTGCACCATGCAAGATCTCACCTCGTGGAGTGTCAATGATCATGAGAACAGTGAGTAATCATCCCAGAACTACACGAGGATCGTGTCAATGATCTCCAGGCAGCTGGGACCACAGTCACCAAGAAAACAATTAGTAACACACTACGCCGACAAGGTCCCTCTGCTCAAGACATGTCCAGGCCGTCTGAAGTTTGCCACTGGACCTCTAAATGATGCAGAGGAGGACTGTTGTGGTCAGATGAGACCAAAATCAAGCTCTTTGGCATCAACTCAACTCGCCGTGTTTGGAGGAGGAGGAATGCTGCCTATGACCCCAAGAACACCATCCCAACTGTCAAACATGGTGTGGTGGAAACATTCTGCTTTGGAGGTGTTTTTCTACTAAGGGGACAAGACAACTGCACCACAGCAAAGGGACGATGGACGGGGCAATGTACCGTCAAATCGTGGGTGAGAATCTTTTTCCCTCAGCCAGGGCATTGAAAATGGGTTGTGGATGGGTGTTGCAGCATGACAATGACCCAAATCACATGGCCAAGGCAACAAAGGAGTAGCTCAAGAAGAAGCACATTAAGGTCCTGGTGTGGCCTAGCAAGTCTTCAGACCTTAATCCAATTGAAAATCTGTGGAGGGAGCTGAAAGTTTGAGTTGCCAAATGTCATCCACCAAACCTTAAAGACTTGGAGAGGATCTGCCAAGAGGAGTGGGCCAAAATCCCTCCTGAGATGTGTCCAACTACAGGAAATGTCTGACCTCTGTTATTGCCAACAAGGGATTTGCCACCAAGTACTAAGTCATTTTTTGTGAAGGGGATCAAATACTTATTTCCCTCATGAACATGCAAATCAGTGCATAATTTGTCAGACATGCATTTCTTTTGAATGTTTTGTTGCTATTCTGTCTTGGTGTTACAATACACCTACCATTCAATTTTTAGACTAATCATTTCTTTGTGAGTGGGCAAACATTCAAAATCAGCAGGGGATCAAATACTTATTTCCTTCACTGTATATATGCATAAGCACAAATTGCTCCATTGCATTCATAATGTTGCATTTATAGTGTTCTGGAAATGTGTATTCATGGGAAAGAGTCCTAACTATACAAAGTGTGCATACCACATTGTGATATGATACCTGAAAATAATAATTAAATTGGCTCTAAAGTCAAATGGTTTAGTACCTTTATGCATTAACCACTTGCCCGCCAGAGGATAAAGCACTGTTACTTTAACTGACAATTGTGCAGTCATGCAACGCTGCACCCAAATGAAAATGTCCTTCCCCACACATGGAGTTTTCTTTTGGTGGTACTTGATTGCCTCTGCGTTTTTGCGCTATAAACAAAAAAGACCAACAATTTTGAAAAAAAAAATATTTTTTACTTTTTGCTATAAAACATATCTAGTACAAAAACTGAAAAAATAAAATTTTGTAATGAATTTAGGCCAAAATGTATTCTGGTACATGTCTTTGCTGAGAAAAAAATTCCAATGCGTGTAATTTAATTGGTTTACGTTAAAGTTATAGCATCTACAAATGGCAGTATACAGTATACATACTGGAATTTTATTTTTTTTTATACTAGTAATGGCATCGATCAGCGACTTATAGCGGGACTGCGGCGGGCATTCTGACACTGGGTGAGAGCTGACTAGCTGCCACTGACATCCCCAGTGACACTAATACAGTGATCAGTGCTAATAAAAAGCACGGATACTGTACTAATGACACTGGGAAGGAAGGGGTTAACATCTGGGATGATCAAAGGGTTAACTGTGTGCTGTTTTACTATGTGTGTTGTACTATGTAAGCATGCTATGCAGAGCAATACAAATCAGTATGTTTGGTGCTGACAGGGGAAAGATCTGTGTTGTTTACACGCAACCCTCTCCCCTGTCAGTGTTGCTCGGCGATCGCCTGCTGGCGGCAATTCCCAGCTGGGACCCCGATTATCGACAGCTGTAGCCACCAATGGCAGCGTGGGTAGGGCAGTGCTTGCACGCCCCCTACCCAGAACTGCGAAATCACATATATATATACACGTGATTTTGCGCAGCCCTATTGCCCTGTAGCAGTGGTTCCCATATAGGGCGGTTGGAAAGCGTTTAAGGTAAAGCACCTTGCAGTAGCTGTTCCTCTCCTCCAAATACTTACCGGAGTCCTTTATTGATCCACTACTGTGCCTGTCTGCAACAGTGCTGTTGTTTCTTGATGGTCTCACAGGGTAGATTGATTGCAGTGGAGCCATTGGCTCCCGCTGCTGTCAATCAAATCCAATGAGGAGGTAGCAGGGCAGTGTGTGTCTATTTTAGTAAAAAGTAAAATAAAATAAAAATTTATCAGCTGGAAATTTTTCATTCATTTCATTCATTGCATTTTTTCAGGCAGCAAAATTCAGCAGTTTTTTTATGACACAAGGATCTTATACGCCATTACAAAAAGTCAGTTTTTAACACAGATTTGCAAAGTGCCTATGTTTTTTTTTTTTGTCAGTCTTCAATCCCTTCGTGCTGTCTCTCTCTACCACTGGGCCTCTAACTGCTGTGGTGAATGTCTAGTTTATCACTGCACACACTAATGTGCCAATGCACAACACAATTCCTGTTGAATGTGGAAACATGTACTGATCCATTCATCTCAGCTAACCCTTTCCAACCTGACAGCTGGGGGGGAAGGGGGTTCGGGGGCACAGTCCTTAAAAGACACTGAAGCATTAGTGTGAACTTGGCCAAAGGGTGATCTAATGCATGTGGTGGGACCCACAGTAAACACATATACAATAAATAATTCATGAAGATCAGTTTATTCACTCTTGTTTTCTGAAAGAAGTGCATCTTAGATTTGTGAAGAGCACATTTAAATAGCACAGATATATTTTGCTAACACAGTGTTTCTTATAGTGATACCTGACACACACGGTTTCTTTTACATTATACCTCTTCTCTCAGTATGTGGATGATGGCACTGTAATTAAATGAATTTAAAAAAAATCTAAGTACCTTCTTTCCTAATCGATATACAGCTGTCACATGACCCAGCTCTTTCCCAGCCTGTCTGTAGGGAAACAGTGACAGGAGGACCTTTTTGTCCTCTGTCGCTGGTCACATGTTAAAAAAAAAAAAAAAAACAGCCTTTAGAATAAAGAGTAAAAATAATTAATATCAATAAACTATTTTAAATTGTCATA